CTCCTGTCGACCCCGACACGCCTAATTAAACTTTCAACGTACATACATACATATATACATATATATATATATATATATATATATATATACACACTGTGAGAAATGATGTGTTAAATATTAACATATGTCTCGTGTGTCTCAAATCATCCACTCTCATTTATGTGTTAATTTAACATACAGCGAATATGTTATAACACACATAATGTGTAAAAAATTAACACGAAAATTTAACATTTGAACGCCGTCGAGAGTCACAGTTTGTGTTACATTGGCATACAATGAATGTTACCGCAACATTTGGGAGAAGTAATGATCTATGATTTAATGAAATGAAAATGTTAGATTGACATCAATCTACGTGTTAAAAATTCAATCTTCACGTAACAGAAATGTTAACATTATACGTTTAACGCATGATAACTGTTTTAATAAGGAAAGTAACACATTTTAGGTGTTGACTTCAACATATAAAATATGTCATAGCAAGAAGATTCATGCATTTACGTACAAATTGTATCGTTTTAATACTTGGAAATGTCATTTTAACACTCGAAAACAGTTGATCTTAATTTAACACAAGAAAGTCTAGGTAACACAACAACGATATGTTAAATTAACACACGACTGTGTAAGAAATTTAACACAAAACTTTCTACGCACAAGTAATTTTAACAAAAGTACGAGACGTTTTTAACTGTGTATGTATATATATATCGCGAGTGATGTAGCGTTTACGGCAGCGCGCTTGCAAATATTGACAGTTGCAATTACTCGGTAGGAGGACGAATAAATCGTTTCTCAGCGTGTCGCTCGGTCCATTTTTCCGTCAGAATGGACTCTTGCACTCGCGCGCGTCCACACGTAATCAGGTACGCGTCCGGGCGCATTGGCACACCTCAGTTCCTTCTCCCATTTCTTTCTCACAAAGGCTTCTCGCGTGGAAGCACGGCGAGAGAGGCACGCTGGAGTGATTCGGTAACGAGCGCAGCAGACAGGCGCCGGCCGAGAGAGAGAGAGAGAGAGAGAGAGAGAGAGAGAGAGAGAGAGATATGTACCGTCGGAAAAACCGGCAGTTTTAATCACGCATTCAGCCGGCTATCTTAAACATTAACGCGTAATTACGAAACAAATTAGCGATAACGCCAGTTATTAACTCGTCCACCGACCATTGATAACACCTAATTATGCATATACAAGTAACGCCGTCGTAGGGAAGAGAGACGCATTCCCCCCCCCTCCCTGCCCCCACCGCCGCCGTCGCCCCGCAATCTATTCTCCCTATCAAACCATCAACACAAAGCATAACTGCTCATTAAGTACTCATGCGCGCCGGCGGCAATTAAAATCTCGCATATACGCGCGACTCCCGGAAATGCGTAAAGCAATCTTCAGGCGCGCCGGATCGCCTCCTCGGCCGGTAAAAAGCGGAAGACGAGGCAGGTGCGCGTGTCCTTGGCCGTCGTTGACCTCAGGGAATCCAACGTCGCGTCGCGGTGCGCGCGCGCGCGCGCGCTCTGCCAATTTTTTACGTCTCGTTACGTCTCGGCGGCCGATGTGCCGTGTCTGTATCCGTTTCCGATTCATCGTCGCTCTCGTCGAGCTCGACCGACTCGAAGGGAAGAGAGCGCGAGTTTCTTCTCGCGACGGCGCAGAGACTTTTAACGCCGGCGTTTCGAGCGTGAAAATTGTCGCCCGCGCGCGCGCGCTTTCGGGATGCTCGCGACACATGATATTGCAGCGATGTCGGGCCACTATTAGCCGGCTTTTATTGGTACACGAGCGAGCCGTGTGCCGGCTGACCTACGACCGCCAACAGTTAATCAATGCTTTTATGAGCATTCGCTCGGCAGTACACCGTCGTTTCAAGCCGCGGCCCGTCCCCTCTCCCCGCCCCCCGGCCAGCCGAACCCACCCCTACCGCCCCCGCCCCCCTTGCCTCCGATCAACCACCCAGCCACCCAATCGTTCGCCCAACGAGCGCGACACGCTTCCCTCTTTCGTTCTTCCCCCCTCCCCCCTCCCACTCTCTCCCTCTCGCTCTCTCTCTCTCTCTCGTTTTATACGCGCGGGTGTATTGTATGTTTCGCGCGCGCTCTTGGAGCAGCTAGCCCCGAAATTTTGCGCTAGCGCGAGGCACCGCTATCCGTTAAACGAGCGCGCGCGCGCGCGCGCGATTACGCCGCTCGACACAATGTATCAGTTGTGGCGCGGCCGTCGCGGACACGGAGAGAGAGAGAGAGAGAGAGAGAGAGAGAGAGAGAGAGAGAGAGAGAGAGAGAGAGAGAGAGAGAGGGAATGGCCGAGCTCATTGTGCGATCGCGATCGCCGCGGAAAGATTCAACGGGAAATCGATCGGCGGTGAATTCGGATTTCGGCATTCCGGCATTCCGACGCTGAGCAGCCGTACGAGCGAGTGGATCGACGGATAATTGATAATTGGTTCGCGCGCTAATAAACAATTCGATATGCATTAGGTCATGTAACATAAATTGCGCCGGGTCAATTTGATTAATGATACACCTTCGTGATCGCGCGCGCGCGCGCGCGCGTCGGACGATTAGGGCGGAATCCTATTAGCTATTTTGATTCCTGGAAATTGCGGTCTTACGTTGTCTTCGATCCGATCGATTTAAGGGACGGCCGGATGAGCTTGCAATCCAAACGTGGCTTTAGCTAAACCGCCGCTTTTAAGACCCTCGCGCGCGCTCGTTGTTGCCGCTCTCTCTCTCTCTCTCTCTCTCTCTCTCTCTCTCTCTCTCTCTCTCTCTCTCTCTCTTCCCTCTCTCTCCCTCTCTCTCTCCTGCGCCGTCTGTCCGGCTCACCCACGGCTATTTATTTTTCTCATCGCTTTTAATTTCCTAGAGATAACGTAGAAGCGTAGATGCGCGTACGCACACACGTACGCACGCATGCACGCACGCACGCACGCACGCACGCACGCACGCACACAAACTCGCGCATACACGCATATAATCCCGCCGGCCATTGTGCGCCGCGCTCCCGAATGAATGTTTCGCGCCCGCTATCGCGATCGGATCTCGCTTGTTGAGTTTATTAATTGCGTTATGGGAAGTGCCGCGTTCACCGGGCGAAATTGAAAAAAATTGTCCGCTCTCTCGCGCGCCGCGCGCTGACCTCGGCGAGATTTCATCCCCTCCTTTTCTCTCTCTCTCTCTCTCTCTCTCATTCCTCTTCTCTTTCCGCGTCTCCCTTTCCTTCGCGATTTCGATAAAAGTTCCACCGCGTTTCCAGCCTTTTCGTCGCGCGACGCTCGCGATCGTATATTTTAGGCCCGCAGATCGTTGGCGCGAGGGGGGCGCGGGCGGGGACGACGAGAGGCGCTGCGGGGGACTGGCTCCAATCGTAAAACAATTATACAATTACCGCGCGGCCGTAATTAATTGCCGGCCGTTTCAACGTTTACCCCGACGTGCGGCGAGAGAGAGAGAGAGAGAGAGAGAGAGAGAGAGAGAGAGAGAGAGAGAGAGAGAGCGCGGCGCGGCGCGGCTCGGCTGCAGGTCCGCGAACGCCGCGGCATTAATTCATTAACGTTGCACCGTGAAACGTATTTGCCCGTAAAATTGGTCGGCCGGCGTGTTCGCGATTATTTGCTTAAACAATTTCCGAACGTCGATCGACGACGCCGCCGCCGCCACCGCCGCCGCCGTATGACGTGATTTAACGATTTCCTTCTCTCTCCGTGTCGACGGCAATAACGCGTTCCCGGTCCTCTCCCCCTCCCTCACTCCCCCTGTGCACCCGTCCCTCTCCGTTCCTCTCGCCTCGCTCACTCTCTGTCCCCCGATGATAATATATCTGCGAAATAAGCGCATCCCAACGGACACCCCCCTTCAAAGCGTGTGCGCTCTCTCTCTCTCTCTCTCTCTCTCTCTCTCTCTCTCTCCTCTCTCGCCGAGCACAAAGAGTCCGCGCGCAAATAAACCGATGAATATTGTATGCCCATTCATCCGCTTTCCGGATGTTTTCGCCGCCGCGCGCGCGCGCGCGCGCGCGGTCCGTCCCCGAACGGTATCCGAGTCTGAACGATGCCGCGCGCGGCGCGCGCGCGAGATTATAATATCACCTCAGCCGCCGGTGCTGTTAACGATAATAAACGAGCGATTAACGACGTATCCGCCTCGCCCGGTGATATTTGTGAAAATAACGCGTGTTTTTGGGCCGCGCGGCTGCGACGCGACGCGTCCGTCGAGCGACACGACCGTCGCGCGCGCACGATCGGAAATCGGTTAAGAAGCGGGCCGACGCGATCGAAATCCGATATTGGGAATGAAGACAGCGCGCGAGCGGGAGAGCGAGCGAGCATTTATACGTAAAGGGATCGCGCACGATATTGGCAGCGATATCCCGGTATCGGTGACCGCCACCGCAGGCCGCAACACGACGGTGCAGTCGCAGTTAATTTGCTCACTCCAAGTGTGTTTGATTCCCCTAATTAATTGATCGGTAGGGTCACCGTGTGCCAGCGCATATACGGATGGCAGTAATCAAGCGCGTGGCCCTCGCTCTCCGGCAAGAGAGAGAGAGAGAGAGAGAGAGAGAGAGAGAGAGAGAGAGACGCCGCGCGGCGGCATTATTGGCGCGCGCATGTATTTGCGCGTACGCGCGCTCTATTTGACAGAAGTGCGCGTCCGGATCTCGCAGCCGGCATCCCTGAGTCGGGAGAGGAGAGAAGAGGAGAGGAAAGGGTGCCCGATTACGGCATATTTTGTCATCAACGTTTTCACCGGAGCTCTCCCTCGGCGAGGAGTCCGCGAAAATGACTCCGAGAGCAAGCTCGAGTCGGCAGGGAAAGTCAAGGCAGAGTCGTCGGAATTGCGTCGTCGTCGTCGTCGTCGTCGTCGTCGTCGTTGGGTAGCGACGTGGGTGTGATTTTTCCTCGCTCTCTTTCTCCTCTCCGAGAAAATTCGCGGAAATGACGTCGCGATTGGTGGACCGAACGGCGAAGCGAGATGGGATACTGTGTTGTGGTGCACACTCACCGAGGTGTCCGTTCTCGTAGTAGTCGCCGTTGTCCAGTCGGTGCTTCTTCAGGGAGTGCTGAGGATGATGACCAGCCGCCGCGGCTAAGTGGCTGGCTGCGAGGCTCAGTCCAACGGAAGCGCGCTTTGGGGGTCTTCCTGGCCTGGAGCTGTACAGTGGTAGAGAGTTACTGTGGTTAGAGACACCTGTCATCGAGGTAACGTCTTACCCCGATCGTCGTGGCCGCGACCTTCGTCGCGGCCGATTGTGTCCGCTGGAATCTCGCTAGCAGGAGATATCGGCGCGCGCGGCCTCGACTCGCGATCGCGGCGGCTGCGGACGGACGAAGACGTCGAGAGCGTCGAGGACGAGAGACGGTGCGCGCGACTGCGAATGAGCCGCGGATTCGGAGAGAGACGACACCTCGCGCGAAGCCGCGAGTAGAAGAGCCGCGGTGACGATCGGCCGCGCCGATATCTCCTCCCGCGGGAACGCGCTCCGTGTCAGCCGCGATGCGGCTCCGGGAGCGGATCTCGAGCTGAGATTTCGAGATTACTCGAGAGGAAAGGATCCCTCCGAAGCGGCCGGACCATTAAAGGAACACCCGGCTCACCGGGCCGGGGAACCAATTTGGTAACCTTAATGGCTAATCTACGTAGATCGTGCGAACGTTTCGAGAGCGGACTCTTACGTGACTAAGGGAAAAAAGCGGAGCGTTTCCCGGCCGGGAAATAACGCGCGGCCTGCCGAATTCGCTCGTCGTCGCTTCTGATTACTCCTCGAATTTTCAGACTCGCTTCGACGACATCGTTCCACGTCCAAAGTCTTGGAGAAGGACGTCGCGCGCCAGAACCGTCAAACACACAACTACTCTCTCTCTCTCTCTCTCTCTCTCTGCCGAGAGAAAGAGAGAGAGAGAGGATCGCGCTTCAGCATCGCTCCGAGTGCCGAGTGGCCGGCGTTTTCTTTTGATGAGCATCACTGGCACCTTTCGAGCTTTGTCGGCGGCGAGCCAGACGAGGAGAGATCTCCGTTGAAACAATCTGTACGATAGCGGAGCGATGATACCGGCGCGCGGTCAGGGGGGGGGGAAGTTCATTTTTCATAGGCGGCAGGCGCCAGAGAGGCGCTCACACGCACGCACACGCGCGCCGTCGCGACGCGGCGCGACGCGACGCGACGCGAGCGAGCGCACATATGAGCCGGGCTTTTGCTTCAGCGAGGAAATATCCGGGACTCGTTGTGTTACCTCGCGGTCCCTTCTTTACTCTCGATGCAGCGCGCTCGCGCGCGCGCCTAACTGTCCGCGGATGTTCTCAACCTGCTCGCCGATCGGCGATTTTCGCACGGGCCGGTTCGGCCCGATTCGCACACCCCGCGATCGCGAGCCGCGATCTTCGATCGGCGACCCGACAGCGTCGTTCTCTTAATCACGGTACACGCTTTATACGCAAGAGCGCGCGCCCTCCTATTTCCCGGCCAGCGTCACATCGCTCGAGCGCAACGAGCGGCGACGGCGGCTGAGCACCGCTAACCGGTAAGCGAGCAATCTCATAGTAGTCAAGACAGATTTGTAAATCTAATTTTTCATCCCGTCTTTCTGCCTGCCCTCTCTCACTTCGCCTCTTCGTTGTCCGGAATCTTCCTCATCTCTCCTCTCGTCCTCCTCTCCCCTCCCCTCCCCCTCTTGTCCCGGAGAACGAGAAGCCCTGTCCTCCCCCTCTCTCTCTCTCTCTCTCCGACGTTCTTTTTCGCCTTGCTACTTGTCTCTCGCTCTATCCCTTTCTCAGCGCCGCCTCTCACGCACGCGGGATACCTCCCCCCCTCCCCCCCAGACGATTCTCAGACGGCCGGTTTATACGGCGTTGATCTCTTAAACCGCTTAGCTTCAGGTTACACCGAAAACACGAGCGCACTTTCTGAGCGCTTAGACCCGCATAATGCGCATTTGTTTGCGTACCGCGCGATCAGCGAAATAAGAAAAGGGCGCCGCGGCCCGTCACGTCGCCGCGTCGCCGCCGGTCCGAACGCGATCCGAACTCGGAGAAGCGCGACGCGTTCGGTCAATTATCGCGCGGCGAACACATCCGCGGCGCGAGCGAGCGGAGCGGAGCGGAGCGGAGCGGAGCCGCCTGGCGTCCGCGATGTCCGATTGTTTCTCCTCACGAGCTACCTCCCGCCCGAGAGAGAGAGAGAGAGAGAGAGAGAGAGAGAGAGAGAGAGAGAGAGAGAGAGAGAGAGAGAACGAGCCAGATGCTTATGCAATATCTGCAGCATTACGTGAATAGTGGCGAAACAATGGCGGGGCAACGACAAACGGGCGTGGAGCGCGGTTGGCCAAGGGATCAAGAGATCGCTAATGATCGCGCGCTAACGTTGCGGCAACCGCGCGACGCGATCGCGCTACCGATTCGGGATTGCCGGATTGATCTTTTATATCGCGGCTATTAATCTCCGTCTTCCGGGGCGCACGGGGTTCAAGCGCGCTCGGCAACGCGGCGAGCATCGATCGTGATCACTCGCGGCCGGTGTGATGGACGATTTCTCCCCCGCGGCGCCGTGGAAGAGGACTGCGAGGAGAGCTTCTCGGCTTTCGAAAAGCAGCGGCGCCTCGATCGATCCTCGCTGGATCCTCGCGAAGGTACTGCAAAAGTGAGCCCGGCTGAATTCTCGAGAAACAAAAAAAAAGTCCAGGGGCCGAAGAGGTTTGAGTCATTTGTTACACTCAAACTAACGTCTTACTGCGCGAATCTTTTACACTCGACCCGACGTTCTTTCTTCCCTCTTTTCGACGCGTAAATGTTTTTCTTTTTTTTTTAATTAAAAGCAACTACACTGCGGCTGGCAGTGCAGTCGGCTCAAAGTCGAGGCTCGACTGCAACGACGCTGGATAAATAAATCTGAGAGTAGTGCGACGCGCGCGGTGTTGCTTGATTACTCGCGCCGTTAAATCTTCAATAATTAAACGGAGCTTAACCAAGGATTCCTCGCAGCTGCGAAAGTAACGCTGCGAAGACAGGCCGGTCCCGCAAGGAGGCTTCCTCCTCGACCCGCATGCGATTATCGACGAGCGAGGTGGCTCGAATTTAATGTCGCGTCGCCGGAAGGATAATTGCAGCCGAGCCGAGCCCGTGGCTTCCTACCCCGGCGACGAGTCCTCGCAGGACGAGCGTGACAGCCGAGATCGGCGCGATCGGCGAGCGCATTTCCAGTATTTACGAGCGCGCGCGGCGTATCGCGCGAATTATACGTGCCGCGTATGAGGCCGCAATTAGCGGGCTTAATCGTAAGGAACGATCGGAGCTGGACGTCTCTCTTTGTCGCGTGATTTATACCGCTCGAACGAGACGGACGTCCCCGCCTCGCGCTCGTTTCGCGGCTTCTCTCTCTCTCTCTCTCTCTCTCTCTCTCTCTCTCTCTCTCTCTCTCTCTCACTCTCTTCGGCGGAGCCTATCGCTCCTTTCCTCCTCATCTACGACGAACGGGGCGAAGCGGCTCGGACGGCTGGAAATTATCGCCCGACGATCGTTTTGTACGTTCGGCCAGTTCGGAGTGCGATCGATCGATTAGATTCGGCCGCGCACACTTCTATATTGTACTTGGCCGGGTTCTCATTCGGAATTGCGTGTGGGCATTAAGAGTTGCGCCGATCATCGGGGCCAGGTGCTATGGCCCGATCCGATCCGTTCCCCGCCCTAATGATCGTTGCACTCCTTCGTTGCTGGCGAAGGAGAAGGAGCTGATCGTCCGGAAAGGGACAGACGGATCGATGGCCGGATCGTGAGGAAAAGGAAGAAAGGATCGGAGAAATGAGCGCAGAGAGCGAGCGAGAGAATGAAAGAGAAAGGCCAACAACACGCGAAAGGAAACGCGAAGGAGAAGCAAATAGGGGCAAGGGGCGGCGACGGCAGCGGCAGCGGCGGCGGCGGCGGCGGCGGCGGGGGGGAGGGAGGGGGAGAGGGCCGAGCAGACGGTGAAAGAAAGAGAAGGACCGATCTCTGCGAGATCGGCGAGACTCGCGGAGAGAATTACACGGCTTTCGTAAGCGATGGGGCGTTTAACGATCTATCGATTCCGAGACGTCTTTAGCTCTTTCAGCCGCTCGCTCGCTCGCTCGCTCGCCCGCTCGCTCGCCCGTCCGCGGTTATCCGCCGCGCAGCCGCGCCGCGTGCAAGCGGCAAAAAAGTCGCCGGGCGCAACAAAACGCGCCGAGTCGATCGAGTCGAATCGTTCGGAATCGAATTCGCGATTCGGACTGCCGACGCGCCGCGCCGGCGGAGCTCGCGCAACACACGCAGGTGGAGGAATCGCGCGCGGTGCAAACGAAATCCCCGCGAGATCTCCTCCTCCTCCTCCTCCTCGTCTCGCTCGGCAAGAGAGCGCGAATGAAGCAGAGAGAGAGAGAGAGAGAGAGAGAGAGAGAGAGACGAGGCGGTCGCGGAACGAACGGACGGATGAATACTCGTGGTACTCGCGCCGCTGATAGATCTGCCGGCGATCTCAGATATCAGGGCGCGCGAGCGAGATGCATGATGAGCGCGTTTCCTAGCGATTTATAGCGGGCGCCTTAATTGTCTTAATTATGCGGCAGCCGCTTCCGTGGAAAGCTCGCGCGAACGATCGACCTCCCGCTGCAATTTAAGAGAACGAGCGTTTCCTTGCGACTCCTGTTCTTTCCTCGCGATTCCTGCTCTTCTGCCTGCCTGTCCCCTTCCCGCCGCCCCCCTCTCTCCCTCCCTCCCTCCCTCCCTCCCTCGGCCCCTCTCGCCGACACGGCGAGCTGCCGCTCTCCGCTCCGCGTCCGCCTGGGAGAGATGAAAATTGTTGCGATAAAGAGGCGCGATAATTTCCCGTTAACATCGCGACGCGCGAGAAGTCTCCTCCCCCCTCCGGCCCCGCCTGCCATGCCTAATGTCCCATTGTGTGTCGGGCCGCAGTTTCCTTCGGTATGGTCTCGCTCGATGATCGCGCGAGGCGTCTCGCGCTTCGACTCGCTCCTTTTCACGCACGCACTCGGAAAAGCAGCGGAGCGCGCCTCGTCGTGGCCCGGGACGGGGTTGTCCTCGTCGACGAGCAGCGGCGCGAAAGCGAGCGTGTCGTTCTCGGTTCGCGAGGGACTGACGACGACGACGACGACGACGACGACGACGTCAAGACATCCGAGATCTC